GCTACCTAGTGTTGGAGGCCCCGATTGTTTGAACCGATTGGCTGAACCGGGGTGGCCCGGACTGCTGATAAGAGGCGGTAATGACTCTGTCATGAGCCTGAGAACTCTCTCTGGTGGGGAACAAAAGTGGCCCAGACAGGGAAGAACCTTCGCTTTTTTCTGGGATCCAAACGTAAGAATCCTTCCATTATCGTTACCTCTTATTCCCCTAATGACTGGAGACCAGAAAGGTCCTGGTTCCCTCGGGACTCCAACCCAGAACCCTCTGGTCCTGGTTCCCCCGGGACTCCAACTTCGTGTTACTGCTTTATTAATCTTCAAGTATCCAACATTAAAACACGTCAGTGAATCGGTTCATAGACATCCACAATGTCACGTCAGGGGAAATATCTGGTGTGTCGTCATGTCTTGATTACCTATTGTGTTCACCTGGGGTTCCCCTCCCTCATGTGTTTAAATAGTCCTCGTTTCCCCTTGTCTTGTTCCAGTTCGTTTTCGTCCTTTCGTCCTTTTTGTTGCGTCTCTCGTCCCTCGTATTTCGTCTCCCCACGTAAGGTTTTTCTTTTTGCCATAGTCTTGTTATTCTTTATTTTGGTTACTTTGCCATTGTCCCAGTTTTGCCACAGCCTTGTTTTTTAACCGTGTCTGGACTTCCACCTTTTTGTTACAATAAACCCTGTTTTTCCGTCATCTCCGCGCCTGAGTCCTCCCTCAAGATCCACCCTCCCTGACACACAATCCACAAGCTCAAGCGGGAATCCACAGGTAAACGTTCCACAGCAAACTTAACTAAAGTAGACGTAAAGCGGTCGGCAGAAAGTAGACGAGTAAACAGGTGATAGTACAAATCAGTAACTCCACTTACACCACGTGACCAATTAGTGCACATCATTAACTAACCACACCCAAACTCAAGGCCTAAACCAGGGGTGGGCAACTCCAGGCCTTGAGAGCCGCTGTCCTGGAGGTTTTAGAAGTTTCCCTGCTTCTACACACCTGATTCACATCATCACAACATCAGCAGTCCTGATCAGAGCTGGACAACCGTTAGAAGAGATCAGTTTTATCTGAATCAGGTGTATAGAAGCAGGGAAACTTAGAAAACCTGCAGGACAGTGGCTCTCGAGGCCTGGAGTTGCCCACCCCTGACTTAAACCCATCCTAACCCATCAGAAATGACAGTCCCAGTGACCAGAAACCAGGTAGATCAAAACTGATCAGTATTCTGAGAGGAAAGACAATCAAAAAGACAGCAACTGGCATCACTTCACTGCCACGAAATTCATAACTCTGCTTTCTGAGGCTCCAACAAAGAGGCTGAAGATATGGATCTGGTCACTGGTGTGAACGCAGATGTGTGTGCGGGCTCTGGGGTTCTTAATGAGGAGCCTTATCTC